TAGTTTACTTTCCTATCGATACAATTTAGGTCATTTAGGAGGCGGGCATCGAGTCTGCCTGTTCGGGTATTCCGAACAGAAAGACCGAGATGCTCAATATAAATTATTGTCCCCACTCGGGAATCCTGCAAACGAGGGCAGCCGGTCTGCGTGGCCCAAATGATCGTTATTGCATCGATGTGTCCTTGGGAAAGGCACTTAACACGAATTTTCCTCACTTCACCCAGGTGGGAATGGGTACCCGGCTATAGACAGCGAAAGATCTTGTCAGTTTGTTAGTGTTTGAGCGCTTAATCGGCTGCTTGCACTGTATGCTTCCCGGGAAGCTGAGAATGTTTCGGAGTGTTCTATGGTCTGCTGGGGTAATAATGTAGTGTAAAGCGCATAGAGCCTGCTGCTGAGCGGGGATATGCGCTATACAAATGCTATCTATTATTATTATTATTACTTCTGTTTATCCAAACTAATTTATAGTAAGTGTATCTCTGAACCGCGTTTCTCTGTATTGTTTGCGTCTCTACATCATCTGTCCGTTTGATTGTCCGTCAGTATTTTTTTTTTCTTTCCTTGTTTTTTTTTTCTTTCTTTTCAGTCTGGCGAGTCTTTATGCGGGTAGTTTTGTGGTACAACTGGCAGGTCTTACTACTTTACTTGCCCTTCTGTTGTCTCTGCCTGTTTGTCTGTCTTTCCCTTACAAAGCATGGTGATTATGTCGATGTGCTTCTATGTACACAAACTAAATTGAGGTTGGCATACCCGCCGCATGATTGTCTGTAGATTTGTTTGGGTCTGTCCTTCTCTATGTCTGTCCGTACTTTCTTTATTCCTTTCTTTTTTTTCAATCTGTCTTTTCTCTTAGTTGGTGGTTTGCGAGTGCTCCGGTGCCGTTTATCTCTCTTTCTTCTTCTCTTCGTATGTTACTCGTCCAGTTATTTAAATACTTTGTGTTGCAAGTGCTTCCTTTTTCCGATCTATCATCGTTGTTTCTTTACAATATTACCCCGGACTGCCTGATCCGTATATACTGCCCGACTCGCTAGCAACACCTTGAATCTTCGGCTGTTGTATGACCTATGTGTGTTGTAAGTGCCGTAAAACTTTTACTAGAATTAAAATGCTCTCAATATTTCTGATTCAACTCTTTCTTCTTTCTTTTTTTTTCGATCTGTCATCGTTCCTTTACGATATTATTACCCCGCGGACTGCCTAATCCATATGGGTTACTGCCCGACTGTTCCATCCTACGTAAGAAAACAAACGAGATGAAGAGTGTATTCAGGAATGGAATCTGATTCCATAGACGTTTCAATAATCACAAGAGGGGCGCACGCCTCTGCATGTCACTTGGGAGTTTGGGGGGGGGGGGGGGGGCTGGATCATCTTGTGGGGTTTGTTTTTTGTCAAAACAGAAATACGAGGTCGGTGTTGGGGTCCTCGGTAATCATGTCTCTCCGAGTTCTGTTTCTAGTTCCCGGTAATGCGTTCGGGCAGCCGACTGACTCGCCAAGTTTATTTTAAATTTCGTCGGATTGTGTTACGTTCTTGGTGAAATCTGTGTTCATTTGTGTTTTTGTGTTGGGTGCGCGCGCGCGCGTGTGTGTGTGTGTGTGTGTGTGTGTGTGTGTGTGTGTGTGTGTGTGTGTGTGTGTGTGTGTGTGCTTATGTGTGTATGTGTGTGTGTTTGTATTTAAAGTGTCTGTCCATCCCCGTTCGACAGAAAGATATTATCTGTCTGTCTGTTTGTTTGTCTGTCTGTCTGTCTGTCTGTCTGCCTGAATAGATCTGCCTAACCATCGATAGATCCTGAGGGAAAAAAATAGAGAGAGAGAAAGAGAGAGAGAGAGAGAGGGGGGGGGGGGTTGTTGTTCCCTCCTCTATTAATGTCACAAGCATCATTTTGGAAAAAACAAATAACGTAGAAAGGCGTGCCTCCTTCGTCAATCACACTCACTGTGAACATACCAACCCCCAAGCCACGTACTTCCAACTCACTCAGCCACCATCCCCCTCCCCGTCTCCCACCAGTACCCCAGCCCCCACCCCACCCCGGTCTCCGGTCTCCCAAACCCCTGCTCATCTATTAGATGTTATTCGACTATCAGCTTTAGACGAAGGCACGCCCAAAGTCCATGGACTGTCGGGGTGTATATTATAATGTCATAAGTTAGAGGAAAGCGGTAGGGGTTTCGGGGCCCGGCTATTATCGTAATTACAGATTATTGACTTGTGCAGCAGCAGCAGCGATGTGTCTGTTAACCCTTTGAGTTCTGCAGCGATGCCTTTTTTACTCATCGTGGGAATTGCTTTTCGGGTTTTAGTTTCAGTTTTGAGCAAATAAAAGAACATCAACATAATGGTGGTCATAATTATGTGTCTCTTAAAAGTAAGGTCGATAGACAAAAACGATGGAGTAAATTGTTGGACCTAACCGCCCCCACCCACCCAGTCAGCAGTGTGGCTGTATAGTTTGTTAAAGTGGTGTCGTTAAGTCATTTTTCAGTATTGTGCAGAAGGCAGCACCGTTGTCTGTGAATGACGTGTGTGAACCAAGAGCCCTAACACAGATGCCAAAAAAAAAAAGAAAGAAGTCTTAAATTCTGTTACTTTCATTTGGCTCCATAGTTGCTCGAATCGGATATGAAAGAGTTAACTGCACGTCGCGGCAAGAACCACTCTGTCTTGCTGCCTTTTAACAGTGTCCGTCCTGTGCCTCCTAGACCCTCCCCCTCTTCCTCCTCCTCCTCTCGCCCTGTGACGATTAACCCTTCCGCGACAGATCCTTAATCCCCCAGGCCTCAATTGCTCCGCCGCCGGCCGCTGCGTATTTGAGCCCTGCTGTAATTTGATAGATTGAATGGAGTCGTCCAGAGTAATAACGTTAATGTGGTTGCAGTTTGTTGCTCATGATTTCAGATATCTTGACATGATCACACTCGGCGTGAACTTTGAACCTTTGCCCAATTGCTCTCAGCGACCTCTTTTTTTCACATATATTGGGTG